GTGTGTGTGTGTGTGCGCGCGTGCGTGCTAGGGCCCTGAGTCTGGCCAGGGAGGCCGGAAGGCAGGTGGGATAAGTGCCAGAGAAGAGGCCACAGCTGCTCTGGCAGCCCATGGGCCTCTTCCTGTGGCCTTGGTTAGTTGCAGCCAGAGCCCAGGGGCTTGATGTTGTCTTGGTTTACCGGTTTTAGCCCTGGGCCATGGCCAGAGAGAGACCAGAGCAGGTTGTACATTTTCCAGGGCTGTTTACATTCACAAGGGATGAGGAACTGAAGGCCAGTCGTAAAACTGTAGGAGCTAGCTTGCAAGGAGCAGGCATGTACACAGAGGAAAAACTTTTAAGCTAAGTAGCTCTTCTGGCTAGAGGGAAAAAAGGCTTTGGGCACAAGGTGGCATAAAACCTCTTGCCATTCACTCTGGCCCTAGTTAGGGACCACTGTGCTCTCTGCAGATGTGTTTGAAAACAACTGCAGAATGAATAACTCAAACGAGTTCTTCCTTAGGGGAGGCCCCTGCATGTTCACTCTCTATGGGTGTTCAGTCTCTCCCCGTAATCACAGGTCCATGTAATTGCACAAGGCCAGCTTCCTGCACAGCCTGGAGCCTCTGGGGACACCACATGGCACCTGTCTTGCTCACTGCTGGAGTCCTGGGCACTGCAAAGAGTCTGCTAGTAGATCTGCCCTGTCAGGGTTTTTTGAATGAATGTATGAAGCAGGAATGAATGAGATTTTTGAAGGATAAAAGAAAAAAAACAGACAGCAGGGGAGGAAACATCATAAAGAAAGAAGAGTGAAGCATTGGAGAATGGTAAGAAGCTTCATTTCAATCAGAACAGCTCGTCTTGACACACTACCTTCTTTCTCTTAACCTATTCTATGAGGTATGAACAAAATATACAGTGTATGTTTACATTTGAAAAACATTTATCAGTAGAAGACATCGTTATGAATTCCCTCCTAAATACGCCCTCTTCCTTCGAGCTCACCCCATCACTCCTGCCGCCCTCTGAAGCGATACAGGAAGCCCTCTCTTGTGAGTGTCTTCATGAGGTGTGACCAAAACGACAGTAAATGCTGTGGCTGAGTGCCTGCCAGCGGGCTCGCGAGACCATTTAGACGCGTCCTCATCCACCTTATTCGTTGGATCTGGCCCTGTGTGACTTCCAGCTCTTCCCCCACACACAGAATGACCACGAAAGAGGCAGTCATGACCTCACGACTAAAGACACGAAACAGGAGCTCAAGAACTGCTTCAGAAAGTAGTAAGAGCAATGGAATAACTGCGTTCAAACTGAGGGGAGTACTTTGAGGGGGACTCACGGTAACGTCTCTTTTACCATGATAGTTTTTTTTAATTCACACTTTCACTGTTTTTCTATCACACCTAGTATACTGCCTCTTTACCACCCTGAAAGAAGAGTCATTTGTACAATACAACCTATCTCCCAATTCTAGTATAAAGGAGAAATAAAAGCAATGCTATTATAATATCATATGCATAGGCACAAATTCATTAGGAGACAGGATGAAATAGATGCTTGCAACTCATCAGGGGAACTTCTGAATGTAAGAAATGTAAGAAAATATTCAGCCGATTCTTCACACATATAAGGGATCACTGTGGAAGCCACAAATATAAACTGTTATAGGTGTTTTGCTTTGCTCACTCAAATACCTTGAGGGGCCTTACTATTGGTGACACATTTTTCAAGCGAAAAACAATCTTTGGTAAAAGTTCAAAGAACTCTAAGCGCAGACATCCCTTGGCCTCCATAGTAGTTGCATTTCTAGAAACTTTGCTACATACCAAAACTGCAGAAAAATGTTTTGTGCTTATCGGTAGAGGGTTCAGAAAGGGCACAGACAGACAGCTTGACTCTACTGCATAATTTTCAGGGCCTCTGCTGGGATCCTCAAAGGCTGAGATTCTGGATCATTTGAAGATTGACTGGGACTGAAGATCTTCCTCAGTGGCTCACCCACTATGTTAATCAGCTTTCAAACTCTGCGACAAAATACTCAAGGACATCAACTTAAAAGAAAGCTTTCTTTAGGTGCAGGGTTTTGGCAGCTTCATTTTATGGCCAGTTGACCTGTTGCTTTTGGGGCCGTGGTGGAGCAGAGTGGCTCATCTCATGTGGGCCAGAAATCACACAAGCATGCACAAGAGGGGAGGCCAGGTCCCCATACTCCCTCCAGGTGCACAAACTGCTGAGCTTCCTTCCTCCCTCTAGGACCCACCTCTTACAGGCTCTACCACCTCCTAGCAGTGCACAAGCTGGAAACAAAACAGTCAACATAGGGGCTTCTGAGGAATTTCAAGACTGATACTGTGGCACCCATAGAACTGGCTAGCCGCTAGTGCTGACTGTTGGCAGGAGACCTCAGTTCCTCCCTGTGTACTTTTCTCCCAGAGCTGCATGTGCATCCTCATGGCACGGCCACAGGCTTCTCCTGGAGTGAGGGGACCCAGAGGCGGAGGGCCACACAGAACAACCCTCTTTGTCGCTCATCCCCAGTGGTCCCACAGCATCAACACCTGCAGTTTTCTGTCCCTTAGGAAAGAGACTCTGAGTCTGCCCATATTCGAGGAGAAGGAAGGCTCCACGCTTTCAAGGAAAGAGCAAGTGTCGACAAATATACAGACTTACATTAGCTTAGTACCTGAGACTCAAGCTCAGTAACTCAAAACTGAACTCTCACCTACACAAAGTGTATTGTAATGGGACATTGCAGCAGTCCCACACATTACAGGATACCTATAACCCCATCCCTATTCAACTAAATTCCGGGAGCACTCCTCTGTCACTGTGAAAGCCAGGAGTAACCCCACATCTCGTGAGCCCCATTTCCTAAGAACTAGTACCTGGGGGAACTAAGAACAAATGAAAACTTGAGACAAGGAAGGAATAAAACCAGGCCCAGGCTCTAGGGTTATTTTAGCAGCAGTGTGCAAGAAAATCTCCCCACTGCTTTTAAGCTATGTGAATCACACATGCTGTCTCCACCAGCCTTGATCCTCAACGCACCTTTGTACCCACGGTGTGCCTCTAGAACGTTTTCTTTCTCCTTTATACCCAGCTTTCTTGGCTTCATGCTCAGTGTTTCTTCTTTTTTATCCTAAAGTTGTCAGATTACTGGAAAGCATAGTTTGAGCCATTTGAGCAGTTGTGGTTTTGCTCAAAGATGCGTGGAGCATTTGCTTAATTTCTATTTCCTCTGTAGGAAGGTGAGCTTGGTGAGGTCAGAGGGAGGAAAGCGGGTTTAAGGCTTTGCATTAGTCACAGAGCTGGGCAGCCTCAGATAGCGTGGAAAAGTTTACCATTTCTCATGGAGCCCCTGAGTGAGCAGCCCCACATATCACCGGGTGAAGGAAAGAGTGCAAAGGGCCCCATCCCTACTGAAAGACGGGAAGATATATGTCTGGCAGTGCCAGTGCACACGTAAAGAGGCTTATTAGCTCCCTGGTTCACAATGAAAAAGCCCAGCTGCTAATGGTGGTGTTGCTAGGCTTTTCTATCTGGCACGATTTTCAGTTTCAATTACTGCGGCGCTGGTGATTTAGCAGCAGACCATCTCACAGGTGCTTCAGAGAGGTCTCTTATGACTGCCGGTACAAAGCAATCTCCTGGGTTGTTGCACTCTCTCTCTCTTTCTCTCTCTCTCTCTCTCGCTCTCTCTCTTCCCCCACTATCTCTCTCTGCTATTTTTTCTCCTTTTTGTACCTTAGGTTAGATTTCTTCTCTTTGCAACTGAAGATCCAGGTTAGATATCTCATGTCACCTCATGTAATCCTCCCCCAAAGCTGGTAGAGTAGCCATTATTTACCCCCTTTTATAGATGAGGAAACTGAGACTCAGTGAAGAGGCTTTGCTAGCTGCTATGGTATCCAGCGAATTAGAAAAACATGCCTCCTTTTGAAGATTAAGTCCCCAGTGGCACTCACTCTGAGCAGATGAATTACACGGGGCTGAGTGGGCTCAGAGTCCAGCTCAGCGAGCAGAGCAGAGGCTGGGTTTCAGCACCCTCACCACTAGGCTGGGCACACGAGAGGAGACACCACTACCCAAGTGTACACGGCAGCCATGGCTACGTGTGCCACCCAGGCTCTGTGTGGTAGTAAGGCTGGGTTCTGGACTCAGCTCTGGTTTTGTTTTTCTTTTCAATTTTTTCAATAACTGTGCTGTGTTGCTTGAATAATAATCTAATTTATTTGTCAGAATTAGTAAGTTTCTAGGTCATTGCTCAATTTTTATTGCCTGTATATGGACATTTATTTGTTTCATGAAACTTGGGAATGAACCCAAGGCCTTAACACTGATCTATATCCCCAGCCTCCCTCTCTCCCTCCCTCCTTCCCTCCCTCCCTCCCTTCCTTCCTTCCTTCCTTTCTTTCTTTTCCTTTCATCAGGACAGGGTCTTGCTAAGTTGTCAAACTGCTCAGGCTGGGCTTGAACCTACAATCTTCTTGCCTCAGCCTTCCAGACTGCTGGGGTGGATATTTAGTCTTGGTACCTGGTGCTATGCCTATACTTTCAGTAAATGCTTAGAGAATGGATGAAGAAACGAGCAATCTGTTTGAGTCGATTCTAAACAAATGACAGGTAGCTGTGGTTTCTGTCACTGCCATCTCTGTGTGATCCATGCATTTTATATATTAGGCACTCGGTAAAGATGCTTGTCTATAATGAAGCTGATGTTCACTGTGAGTGCCAGCAGAATTTGTGCATTGTTTCATGCAGTTTACTTGAGGATGTTCTGAGGAGGATGGGATTCTGCCTAAGCCTTGAAGATTTCTGTAGAGAAGAGGAAGGGTACTCCTAGTTTGGAGAAAAGCAAAGGGAGGGGCATGGCACGGTTGGAAGTCACAGTCAGGAGGCTGGCCTGAGCAGCAGAAAAGATGTGTGTTGGAGGAGTGGTTGGAAATAAGATTGGCTGAAATGAATACCAATCCCACAGCCAGCTTCATTCTATGCAATTAACCCAGACCTCTGTTTACAGAGAGAAATCTGAAGCAAAGGCCACAAAGCCAATACATCACAGTTCCCCTGGGACTCCAACCACAGCCAGTGACGTGAACAACCATCAGTGTTCTTCAACTCTGAGGACTTGGAGAGACCAGTAGCCATAAAAGACATCCTGCAATTAAGACTGTCAACCGTCATCCATCTACCATTTCAAGCTCTGTGGGGGAGAAGGACTGAGGAGGAGAGGGTGGGACAGAGTACGACATAGTTCACAAACTAATCAGCCTCCTTTCAGCTGTATGTTACACCTCTATACCTGTACAGCCCTGTCCTCTGTCATATAAATTTGTCATGTAAAAATATGTGCAGTAATATTAGATGAATTGGTTAGGACCTAACAGACCAGATAAAAAAGATTTAGGGAACAGATCAGGTCCTAAGGAAAAAAAATTGCTTATAAAACCGAGGAACCCATGTTCTTGGCGAGTAACTTCAGTGGTGTGATATCTCAAAGTATAGGTCGAAATGTCACCCATTCTACTTTTTAGTTTATCTGTCTGTGAAACGGAGAAACCAACCCTTACTCCAAATGCAGTAAGTAGTTTAAGGATCTTGAGACAGTTCCATCCTACAAGGGACAGTGCTGGAGGGACCACATGGAACTACCTTTCCTTGCATTGCCATCCAGCTCTCTCTGGATAGGGACCTGGGTAAGACAGGGAGACAGCCAGGGTTAGAGACAGCTCTGGAACAGGAGTCTGGCCTGGTGTGTCCCTGCTTTGGGTATATTCTCTACTATGGATGGCTCAGGTCCTTTTGTGCCTCCTCTTCCTGTTGGCCTTGAATCCACACTCATCCTTCTGCTCTGTTCAGAGGCTCAGTCATATTGGCACATGGAGACTGTTCCAGTTCCGCTGACCTCCACCTAGGCTCAGCCACCTGGAGGTGCTGGTGAGAAACTGGAGAGAAGGAGGAAGAAGCCAGGGAATTTCACTCTTCTTCCTGCTCACATGGCATCTTTGATGCAGTTGCATCCTCTCCGTCTCTCCACAGGTCTGGATCCCCGCAACAGGTCCATCATGATTCCAATTCCTCTTGCCTGGCTCTAGTGCCTGCCAACTCCAGCTCCTTCCCTCTATCCCTCCAGCCTAGGAGTGGTGAAGGATCCCTCACCTGCTTATCTCTGAGGCTTCCTCAAGTCCTGATTGCTTTCCCAGCCTCTTTTGAGAGCCTGTGCTAAGTGGTGCCTGTCTTACATACCTAGGATGGAATTTGTTCTGGTGGAATCCTTATGGCCACAGCTCAATGAGAAAGTTGCAGTGTGGCATCTTTATTAGGACCTTCTGGTTACAAGTGTAAACAGTATGCAGTTGCTTAAGAAATACCACATTTCAAAACTTGCACCATCCTGCACCTACCTGGCAGGTCTGGGACTTGTTCTCCATGCTATGTTCAAGAGTCTCAGGCTCACTGGGTCTAAGGAAGCAGGCAAAGAGCCAGTCTTGTTCTGCAGGGTTCCTTATTGTCACCACAACTGCTTCTGTGCCGTGTGCTACCTGCTGTCAAGTTCAGGTTCTTCTCAGAAATGGGCCATAGAAATGTGCTTCCTAGTGATCTTCTCTGCCCACAACAGCCTTGCAAAAAGGAATTTTTGATGATGCTCTCAAGAACACAGTGTTGAGCATCCAGCCTCCCCAGCACCCCTCAGAATAAAGGCAGTGGGGGTGCCACTGGGACCAGCCTGCTTTAGTGGAAGCCACCACACCTCTACCCAACTCGTTTCCTGAGGTCAGGCCACGCTGCCTTTGCTCAGTACAAGTCCTTCCACCTGACACATTGTCAGGCCTCATCCCCAGCCTCCCTGGAACCGAAGCCCTGCTCTGAAAGTCTGCATGCTGGGCAGTGCCAATACATAGGTTTTGCTGGGCTCTCAGAGTGATTTCACAGCTGAAAAATTATTTGCAATACTTTTAGTAAATTTTACACAGACCCTAAATTTCCTTCTGTTTTCAAAAATTCAGATAAGTCCTGCCACAGTGACTTCCTATACCATAATACCAAGAATCAGAGGGTAAAGTAGCAGGTGTTCTTTCAGAAGGGGCTTCTGTCCTGGCTCGTTTCCTTCTTAGGACGTGCCCTGCCTGTCCCAGGTGCCAGAGCTCCCAGCTCTGGTTCTTTTGTGGTCCTGTGTTCCAGCACCCAGATCTTGGCTGTGTGTGTGTGGTATTACCATAAACACATTCTTTTCAAAAAGACATTACAAGTTCTCAAATGGGTTAGCCTGTGATAAAAATAAAAGACAATGCAGTTGTACTAGTCAAAGCAGGGAATAGGCATGTGCCCACCCAGAATATACAGATGTCTCGGATACCCTGGGTAAAAGCATTTGTAGTTCTTGAAAAGGCACCAGATCTGGCACTTAGGATATCTGTATTTTCTTTTCATTTTTCATCCTTGTTTCTACATTTCTGCTTCATTCTCTTTCTCTCTAGAAGATTCTTTTCTGCTACTTGAAAGATCTTCCCACCACCTACCTATAAAATGTGTACACTCTGAAGATCCAGGCACCCCAAGACAGTAGCCCAACTCTCAACCCAGGTTCCACGTCGCCATTTCTAAGGAAGGAAATCTGATTGGCCCGACGTGGGTGAAGAGCCCACTGCAAACCAATCATCTGCTGCCATGTTACCATGCGTTGCCAAACAGCTGCTGAGCTAAGAAAGCATGGTGGTAAAGGGGAGACTGTCTGGAAGAGAGAAGACACTCTGACAGTGTTCAGGGTGGGTGACAATGGGGCAAGCAGAGAATAAAGCCATCCTACTCTCCAGTCAACCCCACCCCTTGTAGCACATGGACCAAGGATGGCCTGAGAACCTAGCATACAAAATGGCATCGTGAGCAAGCTATGAAAAATTCATTCAGTGTAATCCTGTCTGTGGAGGAAGCCAAGCCAAGCTCCATTCATTGTTCATCATTAATTCAGTCCCAGGCTGGATTCTTTGGCTAGAAGCTTTCTGTTTCAAGCAAATGAGCTTAGATGAGCAGGCAGCCGATGGTCGTCTGCAGGTGATCTATGCTGACATTTGCTCCTCTCTGGCAAACCCTTCTTGCGAAGTTATTGCCGGTTAACAGATTCCACGCAGCCCTAACTACCCCTTGGAGGACATTAGGGGCTCCAACTTTGTAGTTAGCACCTTTCTTTGCTTAATTACAGCATTATAGATATCTGTGCACCCTCGGTTTGCTTTGCCTGCTGAGAAGCTTTTGTCAAGCCAAGCGCCACCTGCCTGGCTCCAGGGAGGGTGGGAGATGCAGACCTTTCATCAATCAGAAAATAAAGCTCAGGGAGAGGTGGCTGGGCGGAGCTGAGGGCACTGGGTGGGCAAAGTGGCTGTTTTCTGCCTCTTCAGAGTCAAGTGTTTCTGTAAAGGATTTCTTTTCTTCTTTCAATAAAAATAGCTCACATGAGTGTAACTTGGTTCCCGGCGTAGACCCCTATGATCCTTGCTTGCTGCCACTCGTGCCATCAGGTCACCCTTTCACAATGGACCAGAGCTGACTGTGTGGCCAGGAGAATTCTATAAAGAGCACAGTACACGACATCTGAGGTTAGGCCATAAGAGGTACTGAAGCTCCTGCTTTAGCCTCCTGGGTAACTTGCTCTGGGGTATCCAGCTGCTGTGCTGGAAGGGCACTGAGCAACCTTCTGGAAAGGCCCATGTGGAAAGACAGGAGGCTTTTGGCTGAAAGCCAGCTGATCGTGGCCGGGCAGGAAAGTGGGCTGCTCTGAAGTGCACGCTCTATCCCTTCACGTCTTCACATGATTCCAGCTCCAGTCTTCAGCGCTTCCCACTGTGGCCCCAGACACCATGTGGCAGAGAGAAGGCATCTCAGCTATGCGCCATCTGAATTACCCGCACACCCTGCAAGGCGCAGTAAACAGCTGTTACCCTTTCAAATGACTGAGATCAGGGTGATACATCGTGCAGTAACAGATCACCACCGTCCGTCCTGCTTGGGCCCTACCGTGTCATTCCAGTTAATCATCACAGCAGCCTATCGGAAGGATCTTCATTTCACAAGTGAGGAAATAAAGCACACAGAAAGTCTTCTTCCTTCCTTACTCCATGGGCTTCAACATTAGAGCTGTAGGTGGCTCGTCCACCTCCCCTTGATCTTGATCCTTTCAGTCTCAGGTGACGCGCTACCTGACTGCAGGTACCTGCAACCCTCCACCTGCAAGCTTCTCTCCACCTTCCCCTGAGGCAGGCCAAAACTGCCAGAGTTAATCCTTTGAGCAGCCCTCAGCTAAGGAAGGCCTGGGTGAATGAGATGACAACTCCCAGCTTCCAAGGCTTCAGGGCGGGCTCACTCTGTGCTGTGCTCTCCCAGGTCTCCTGAGTTCTCCCGCAGGAGAGAGGCTTAGCTTTCCCCATGGGAATCTGGTGAACAACACATCTTCCACAACTGCTATATCTTCTCTTCCTTGTTAGACCCCCTGCTCTCAGCAACAACTCTTGGGAACCCTTTCCGGTGTAACGGCTCACATTCAAACCCTCCTCTCAGGGTCAGCTTCTAGAGGGACCCAACTTAAGAAATGATGGAGGTGGGTACCGAATGGGTCAAGAGCCCTCAAGACTTCTGTCTCAAGTACAGCATCACTGAGCCCCTCACAAATCAAACTCCTGACTGCCAGAGGTTCTCATCTTCACACGCAAACACCCCAAGACCTAGTAAGATTTTGGGGTGCTAAGCTACAGTTCATAGGAGTAAGAAGCTCTAGAACAGTGGTAGTGAACCTATGGCAGGCTATTTTTTATCATCGAAAGCTCTGAAAGGTTCTCCATCATTGGTCTAGAGTCTACTGTGCAGGAGAATGACTATAGATAGTGACGATGCATTGTATGTCTCAAAAAGGAAAAAAAAAGATTTTAATGTCCTCATAGAAAGATTCCTGGGGGGATGTTTACCTTGCTTTACAAAATGCATATGTGTATCAAAACATCACACAGTACCTTGTTATTATATACAAATTTATTTTTATGTGTCAGCTAAAAACTAAATTGAAATTTTAAAAAGACTTTGGAATTATTTGCCCCTGGGGATTAGCCACAATTCTGACCTCCATTCAAGCAAATCATTGGGAATTCATTAAGTAAACACGAGGCAGGGGAATATGATTCCATGTTGGTTTGCGTTTTCCTCCTAAGCATCACATAGGCAGGCTTGGGCCTAAACTGCTTTTGGGGCCAGAGCAGGGTGCAGAGCTTCGGTGTGTCAGCTAGGGAGGGTGTGAGCTTCAGCGGCCAAAGCCCCAGAGTGGAGATGAAGTCGCCGCATCGGTCAGCTGGAACAGACCTTCCCCTAGCTTATTTTTCTCCCTCTCATTTGCTCTCTTGAAAGCATCAGTGCCTTCAACAGCCTCAGGGAGGTTGACTAAGAAGCCAGCCAGAGGCACTGTCAGAATTCACCTGGCTCTGTACTTCCTGGCAACTTAGTGACTTAGACCTTGTGTCCAAGAAAAGGGCCAGGAAGTAGCTCAGTTCGAAGGTCCTAGTTTCAGTCCCCAGCAGAGGTGGCGGGGAGAACTGAGCAGAAAGGAAAATAACAGTACAGGAAGCATCTACCTACTGGAACCTTCCTTCCTCGAAGTTAACGTTTCCAGTATCCTTGCCCACACACCACTAGTACCTGGGTGCCCGGAGAGAACAGTGACTGAACACATCCAGGAAATATTGC